CATCTACGCTGGAGCAACTCAGGACATTTAGCGCGGACATGACCACTATGACGACAGAAATGACAAACAGGAGGAGCACCCTTATATGTCGCTGCGACAAAGAAATCAAACTCGCTGAGATAGAGCATTCTATCTAGAGGTTGAGCCTCCTGCCACTCACCACCCTCTACCTGATATCCCACCGAGGTATCCACCATCACCGAAAACTTGCCCTCAAAGAAACCACCACGAGTGAACTTCTTCACCTGCAGGACACGACCATAAAACGACAAAGACTTGATCAAATCATGCAAAAAAGTGGGTTCTTTGACGATGCGCATCAAAGTAAACTGGACAAACTTCAAATCACCAAACTCCTTGCATTCCTTGGCGTGAACAGCCTTGTACACCATGCCATTCACGTTAACACCAGTTGTCATAGCCTTGTTCGCATCATCCACCTCCTCGAACTTGGCTTCAATAAGCAAAGAACCATCGTTCTTTTCATCGTAGACACTTAAAGGACGAAATTCCACCAGAGAAGACACCTGGGTTTGAATTACCTTGTACGCATCCACACGATCACCAAACAAACCCTTACGGAAAGAAAAGAGAACTGAACCAGAAGTAAGTGCCTGCTGCACAATCGCCATTGCCTTACTAGCTAAGATTTGACTCTTCAAATCATCATCCTCAAACATCACAGAACCCACCAAAGGGTAAGAAGAAGCGGCGGCCTCCACCGAACGCCTCTTGGATGGCTGATAGAACCTCATAGTAGAACCACGAGATGCACGTTCAGCCCAAGTCATTTCAGAATTGACTGACATAGAGTGTAACTTGTAACTGGAGTGTAACTTTTGTTGACCTTTGTAAAAAAAAATAGTGAAAATGTTGAATTCGTCGAAAAATTGCTGAATCGATCTGAAATCAAGATATGTTGTAGAGCTGAAATGGATGTATCTAAATATACTTGGATGCAAGATGGATGTATCCTAGTTGTTGAGATATCGTCGTTCAAAGTTGGCAAAAACAAAAACTTTTTGAAAAGTGATGTATAAGCGAAAGAGCCTTCGTATTAAGCGAAAGAGCCCGTGCCCGCCACCAAGTGAAGGATAGAACCTCGCGTGTTGAAATTTCGAACTTTACTGTAGACCAAGAAAACCTATTCGTTAGCAAGCCATTTATAAAAAAAATATACCTATTACGTAATCGTTAAACAAAGTAAATATAGGAATTATTAAAAAAAATTTGTATATTTTATTTACAAAAATAATAATTTGCTTTATATATTTTAATAAATTTTTGTTTTATTATATTTTTTAAAAAATTATTTGTTTTTTAAAAATAAAATAATTAAAAACTTGTTTTTAAACCTTATTTTATAAAAAAATTAATTAATTTTTATATATTTATTTTATATATTATAAAATATATATAATTTTTTATACGCCTACATTATATAATAAAAAATATATGTTTATTAAAAAATTTAATATTTTGCTAAAATACATTATATAGTTTAAAAACAAATTAATTATTTTAATATCATGAATTGTACTTCTATATTTGTAGACAAACTGGCATAGGTCTCTCCTGGCAAATATATTTAGTGTGACGAATAGGTTGTAAAGACCTTTTTTTTGCTGCTCTTTCTCATGAAAAAGTTTTTTTTTTTTTTTGCCCGGGCGGGCTTATACAAGGCTCTTTCGCTTATACTTCTTTTCTCCCTTGAAGTTACCTGCTCATTTGTTGCTGTCTCCTGCTTCGTGGCGTCTTTTCTGGTCCCTGGAAATGCCTGCAAAGGCTTTCACACCTTGGTGACGATTGCTACATGACCGTGTCCCGCACCGTTCGTGGTGTCATAAGATTATGCCTACCAAAGTTCTCTCTCCTGCTTGTGCTCTTTGCGGTTTCTCTACAGAGGACCTTTACCATTTCGTGGTGGGTTGCCATGTCAAGTCATTTTTCTTTTTTTTTTTTGTATTAAAGTGTATCTTTATTAGCTTTGAAATTTATAGTCTATACAGTAATTATAGGCAAGGCCAAGGTGCCAGCTTGAACACTTGCCAAAGAAAGAGAAGAAAAGAGTGTACCATGGTCTTGACGGACCATGTTGATAGCAGCAGAAGCTATCCAAGGCTCCTCGTCTATGACGCATCGCCAATGATACTTCCAAAGTGTACTGTAGGCAGCACCCAGAGCAATCAGAACATCCTCATCGATCACCAACAAATCTGAACCACTACAAAAGGTAGTCAGCGCCAACCAAATAGAAGAAGCAGAGGGGAGTAGCTCTTGAAGTGACAACAAAGAGACTACATCCTGCCAGAAAAATGACTTGATATGGCAACCCACCACGAAATGGTAAAGGTCCTCTGTAGCAAAACCACAAAGAGCACAAGCAGGAGACAGAACTTTTGTAGGCATAATCTTATGACACCACGAGCGGTGCGGGACACGGTCATGTAGCAATCGCCACCAAGGTGTGAAAGCCTTTGCAGGCATTTCCAGGGACCAGAAAAGACGCCACAAAGCAGGAAACAGCAACAAATGGGCAGGCAACTTCAAGGGAGGACCCATACGAGAGGTAATGGTACCCTTTGCAGGGTGCCAATACCTTCGCAAAGCACCAAGAGAGAGACGAGCAACCGGAGCAGCAGAACGAGACGAGTTGGAGACAGTCCAATGAGTACAATCTGGCATCCAAGAGGTAGCACCATCAGAACGGGGCATAGTAAAATAGTCTGCTTGAGACAAGACTATCTTACTATCCATGACAGGCGGGAATACCAGAGAGACAGGACCACGATCACGGTTCAAGGCAAGAAAAACAGGGCGCAAAACACGAGATGACCAAGCAAGATGAGAGGTGACACCATCAACTATACCTAGATCAGGTTGCCAGAAAGAGACATCCGACACCAAAAAACGAGGATCAAGAGATGATGGATCACGAGGAGGACGAACAGAAGGCACAGTACTGAGTACAGAACACAAGGGAAGATCAAGAAACCACCTAGCAGACCAACCAGAGGAAGGAACTAACTTTGGCAATCTCAACAAAAGCTTTCCAAGATGTGTTAGAGCAGGCACAGAAGACACACGAGACTGGTAAAGACCAGGAAAACAAAACCACGGCAAGATGGACTTATGACCAGTGTAAACTTGAAAAGCATACACCAACCAAGAGGAGACAAAATCACTGGGAGAGGGTGGACGCAACAAACGTTGCAAATAGACAAGATGCAAAGCTAAGCTTTGATCTGCTATATCCACGAGACCAACACCACCAAATTTTCGAGGAAGACACAAAGTAGACCAGGCAACACCGGGGCGAAAAGACACCAGATACTCACGAATCACCTTTGTGAGCGACTTCAACCACGACGCAGTTACACCACCACCAGGAACAACACGCAACAAATGATATACCTTTGACAACAGTAACGAGTTAGCCACTAGTCCTGCTCCCCTAATGGAGAGATTCCTTTGTTTCATCAAGTTACTGTGTCGCTGGACCTTCACCAAGACACCATCAAGATAGTCTTGAAGTTGACTTTCAGTATGATACAAGGGATAACCCAAGTAACGTACTGCACCACGAGAGTGAGCGTCATGCCACTGGAGACCAGTAGAATCAGCCAAAGCAACCCAAGCAGAGTGTGACACACCAGACAACGACACCAACACTGTCTTGCTGATATTGACTTTCGCATTAGATGCTCGGCCATACAGATCAAGAACAGACAACAACACAGACCACTCTTCTGGCGAAGACAAAAACACCTCAAGATCATCCGCATAGCTTAGAATCTTGACAGGAGGAGGAGCAACAGAGCCACTGACAAAGTCCAAAGTCCAATTCCGGGAACCAGTACCATGATCCACACGAACTTCAACCGGTGAAGGCTTCCATTTACGTGGGATATTAACAGGGGACAGAGTAACACCAGAAAGACCAGGACAAGCAAGGAGAGAACGAAGCAAAGGCTCAAATGCCAGATTGAATAGCAATGGAGACAGAGGATCACCTTGACGAAGACCTCGCAATTGAGGTACAGGAGCACCAAGCCAACCATTGATAGACACTGAAATCTTGGTTCCAAAGAACAAAGAAGACAGACAAGACACCAACTCACCAGGAAAACCAAACCGGAGCAACACACGACAAAGATATTCAGGATGAACCCGATCATACGCCTTCTCTTGATCCAACAAAACAGCCACTTGAGGTAAATCAGGAGCAACAACACGCAAGTGAGACATCAACAACTGATTTAACCAGCCATTGTCAGAGATCAGACGATGAGGGAGAAAACCAGTTTGATAAGGGTTGATTAACTTTGGCAACACTTTGTTCATACGATTAGCAATGAGCTTTGTAAATAACTTGGCATCACTGTTAATTAAGGACAAAGGTCTCCAGTTAACCAACAACTGAGGGTCACCCTTCTTGAACAAAAGTACCATACGAGTTTGCTGCCACGAAGGAGGAAACACACCAGAAAAAGCTGCACCCAACACATCCACAAGCAAGTCAAGAAAATCAGTAGAAACACCAGCAAGATATTGATACAATTCAAAAGGCAAACCGTCAAGACCAGGACTTTTAGACTTGGGAGCATGAGTGAGCAAAGACAACAAAACATCGCGTGTTGGAAGTTCCATTAGCATATCACCATCCAAAGATGATAGACGTACATCAGTTGGAACATTCCCCAGGAGAGTATCGATAGCTTCAGCATCGACAGCATCAGGGGTATATAGCCTTTGGTAAAAACCTTGTGCCTCCCTGTTGATAGCTGCTGCTTCCACCAAGATATCCCCAGTAGTAGAGCACTTTAAGGATTGAATTGTCTGTTGAGACTCTCGCACCTTGATCGAACGATAGAAATACTTGTTGCTACGTTCTCCCTGTTCTAACCAACGAGTGGCAGAGCGAAGCATATTCTGACTAGTCTCTTTCTGTATCTGATTCTCAATCAAAACTTCTAGTTGCCTGACCTGCTGCTCAGCATCACCTGAAGCAGTAGACACTCTGTCAGTTTGACCAATAGCATTCCTAGTCTCAACACCCGATACAGACGTTGACAGAGCCCTAATACGTTCCAGTTGAAGCGTAAAAACTTTGTTCTTGAATCGTGCTTTCATGCTTCTAGTGTACTTTTGTGCACAGCACTTTAGTAACAACTTGAAGGATTCCCATCTAGCCACCGTGCTTTCAGGGTCACCACTACCACCTTGACTAGTATTGACACCCTTAGACCCACCACCAACAGCACCAGAGAAGAACAATGACACCGTGGCATTCAACAACGCAACAAATTCCTTATCATCAAGCAGAGTTGGATTGAACCGCCAACTACCAGGACCAATACTAGCTGTCGCAGGTAACATTTCAACAGTCAAAAGAGAGTGATCCGTCCACCTACTAGGCATATATAGTAACTGACTATTAGTCAAACGAGGAGCAAGAGAAGAGTGACCAAAGATGTAATCAATACAAGTATTGCTCTTTGGAAACGTGGCTAAACCATCCGGATGACAATTGACAAAGTGAGTACGCAACCAGTGAACAAAAGGAGCGACATCGGCTTGACGAGAAGTAGACAAAGAGTGCAAGTGAATGTTGAAATCACCCATAACCATCCAAGGTGTGTTGAACACATCAGACCAAACAGAAAGAGAGAGAAAATCAGAGATAAATGAAGGACGGTCAAAAGACTGCGCGGGACCATAAATATTGGCCACTTTGCACAAAACATTGCTTGAGGCATCTACGACAGATGCAACAAGACAACGTTCATCCAACAATACCTCCGTATCC